TTCAAGAATTCGCCTGTACAAAGGAATAGTTTTAAAACCCTAATTGCAATAGCCTCAGCTGTTGTTAACAAGCGTGGACATGAATGCACTACGGCGTGAGCTCCTCACCTCAAACATGGCAGGCGACCAGCATTAGTCACCGCTGACCTGTCTGCCCTCATCTAATGTGTGCGTTTTGTCCGAGCGGTGCACTTAGACTGACTGAGACATTGATCGATGGCTAGGCATGCCAAACCAATAGAATGTGTTGATTTCGTGCTTCTTTCTAATTTAGTCCTAGTTTTCATTAGCCAATGGGTTTTATAAGTTTGTGTTTACAATTAAATGCTTGATGAGATCTATCGAAAAAAGGTTCTTCGCGCAATTGTGATCGTCAATAAGCATTAGCTTATAACAATGTAACCGGACGCGCCAAGTAACTGCGGGATACAATTTCTTGGGGAAAGATCAAGGTGATTGTGTAAAAGGTACATCTTGAATGACATTAGAACTCCAAGAACCTGATGGTCTGCAATGAGTTTTTATAATGCATTTGTAGTTTACTGCCTTTGTTTTACCCAGCAACCATGTGCACAATGCCTTGAATGATCTCCACGCTTCTAACCCAAAAGATGTCAACTGGCATTCGAAAGTACAGTCTGTCATTATGCGGCGAATATCAAGCTCAATAAGTATCACTCGTTTGAGCTTCACATCACTGCTCTTCGGAAACTTTTGTAGCAAGTGCTGCAATGCGAAATCATCTCGCTTGAGGGCCATGACGAAGTTTTTTAATCAAAGCAAACTTGAAGTGCAGTGGTGGCAGTTAGAAATGATCAGGTTACACAAGTGGTGCATGCTTTGCTCTCATTTTTCATGCAACATACTGCGTCGTCTCTGGCCACCTTTCTGTTTTGTAGTGCAGTTGAGTTGCTTTACTGTTCCATAAGCAAAAGTTACACCCATGTTTACTGAAGTCTCCTTGCACACCCATTAGGAGTTTAGTGGCAGTTAACTCGGCACAGATGTTCCACAGGTCGTTCAGTGCAGCTAGTATCTCTTGCATACTTTTGTATGTTTCCTTCATATTGGTGGCATACAACAGAGGCACAGATGCGTACGCATTTCCAGCATGGAGTAGTAAGGATTTAAGTATATTAGTGAACGAGTCAATGAGCAAAGGCCATTGATCACTGATATGCTCCACGCCAAGCTCTTTCAACAGGCCTTTTAAGTCGGGACAGTAACAAAATGCTCCTCTCGTGCCATGGAAAACGGACAATTTAACGTCTCGCTTTCTGCATAAAGTAACCTTAGAGTTTGCAGCAAGTAAGTCCTACTGCTGCAGCCGAGATACCAGTAACTCGGTTTGCCTTTAAGTAAGCCCAGGTTACGTACTAAGTCATTCAGCTCTGCTTGTTCAATAAGCTGTGGGTTGACATCATGCACTTCAAATTTTGCGCGGATGTTAGAATCAGTTGAAGTTGAAGATGCAGAATTGCTACTCATCATCAGTGACATGTTCACTGGGGGCACCATAATGGGTAGGATGAAATCATGTGGGACAGGTCGAAAAGCTGATGGAAAATTGTAATAATGGCTTTTTTGTCCTTGTTTCGGTTTGAAAAGCTAATGACACTAGTTAGGCAGAAGTAATAGTCAGTCGTGGGATCCTTCGGTTCCCTTCACACTATGGGGATTGCAAGGGACATTTTGCTTTGCTCTTGAGCCACTGAGTCTGATGATGATGTCACGACACACAAACAGTATGTGGCGCCCCTTACCTACCCTCATTTCTCAGTTTCATTAAGTAATATGCATAGTTGGCTGAGTTAAGTAGTGAAGAAATGGGTCTGCACTGCGACGTTGTAATAAATTGTCCACAGACGTAACAAAAAGATTTCGGTCATTGACACAGCAGCCTGTTTCAGCCATGGTCAAGCCAAGAATTAAGGAAACACAGCTCTCAATCGACTTTCAGTAACAGATGGGTACCATGGCCACGACCGCTTGTTTCTTATGATTACAGGAAGCCAATAGACCACTCACAGACGAGCATTCGATGTAATGGACGCACTGCTTAGCTGAAATGAAAAACTAAATTAAACAAAAACCTGACGTGATATGAACCTTTGGTTGGCATATTTATAATTAGCTCAGTTTGTACTACTGGTAACCTTCTATTATATTTCTGTTATAAAAATGCTGTCGAACGACGTAATCTTTTAAGGGTATGTAGTCAGCGTGACCAAATTGCTTCTAGTGCATATGATTGAACAAAATTTTCAAAACTCAGTGGTCTGAGCTTCCCAAAATAGTCCGTCCTTGTATGTAGAATGGCAGCTTTTTGTTTGTGTACACAACGTCTAACCGGGTACAATGTTTGGTCAACTAGGTCACTAAAACTAACAACCCAAGTGTCTTCAGAATTTTCGTATTCTTTCTACTAAAGTCACCAGCAAAAATACAGATGGAACATTGCAAGTAAAGCAATGGCATAAAAGAAACTTAGTCCTCAAAATCTTCAGTTCTAACGCAGATGTGTCAGGAGCAACGTAGACATTTTCAGCGATGGCGGATTGAAAGCCACTTAGGAACTTTGGTTTGCATTCTATTAGATGGCATCTTATAAAAATCGTTGAATATGTGAACCTTCGATCCCGGAATTGTATTAACATTGATTAACGTAACTTCTAACACCATCACCGCGAAACTGCGACGTTACAGAGCGGTCAGACCTGATAGGAAAATAAATATCGTGTTGAATAATCCAATTTTTTACATCTGTATGCAAATAACTTTCTTGTAATAGAATGATTTCTATGTTTGCATAGGGGCACTTATATCACCGATTTTATCAAGAAGCGAGCGCACATTACTGGAGAGTAGCAGTGGGACTTGCGATGTGTCCACAGAACAAGGACTGCTACCAGATTAACAACCAGTAAGATGCTTTCGCTTTATTTCACGATGTTTCCTCCTAACTCGCCTAAAGGTGTTCCTGACTTTATGACCATATTTGTCGAAGCACGGATATAAGGCAGTGATGCGTAACGTTGACGGAATAGGACAAGATTCACCTTGTTACTAGTCCAGCAAAACAAATTGTCACAACGATACAAATTAAACACAACATCTACAGGCGGTAGTGCAAAACTATATTCCAACGAGAACCAATACAGATTTGTAATCCTTACCACTGACAGAACTTTCAGTCGTTCTTGGTATGGCAAATAGAACAAGCACTTTACGTTTTTGGTTTCCGTGTGCTGTGTGGCCTCTCGTGCAGCCAGATCACGTTTCATCCAGGCTTGCTCAGGGTCTCGCATACGCAGTGGGCATATGTGGGAAGATGGAAAGTTCGAACCGCCTGAACGTAGTCCGCAACAGACCGGCATGTTGGTTCCCTGTTTTGGACGCCTTCGTGGATGGCTCCGAACAGCTGATGTCAACGTGGAAAACCACCCCATGTTCCCGCTTCGGTAAGACGGTCTTCAAGACGTGGTATACGAAGTAACGGCGTAAAGGTAAAGTTTCATATGTACCGGCGTTAATCGGTCCAAGTTTCATTGCAGCATACCATGCTCTTCTTGATTACCAATCGCCCGCGGCATGCTGCCTCGACTTTCAAACACGTCTCTTTTCTGGATGATTGAGTGAGACCGACAAATGTTCGCGAGGGGACCTAACAAAAGCGTTTACATTGTTTCTAACTTGACGGGCGCATATTCAGTTAGAATGTGGTTAGTTACCCAGAAAACAGTGGGTTATCCTGCGCATTTACTACTGCGCGTCAAAATGAACTTTTGCTTGCCGGCAGGGTGTTAAGTGACACGGACACGGTCAAAAAGTCACGATGGCGGCGGGCGGAAAACAGGCGTTTATTCAGTATAGTGTAGCCTATTAAAAGGAAATAAACACTGTTAATCTTCGAGCCTTCTCAGTGGGTCTCCTGTTTTTCGGCTCACCTCATTGGTTGCGTTCCCCGTTTATTTCATTGGGTTATGCTATTCCTCTTCGGTTGCTGTCTTCCTGTCTCGCGCAATGATCACGTCTTTCGTGCTCGGCATCTGATTGGCCATATTTCTTTGGACCGCTCATATTTGGCTTTGCACTCTGAAACTTGCCGTTAATAGCGATTCTCGAGTTGCCAGTGCGCCCACTATGTTCTATTGTCCAATCCGGTTTGTCGGTTTCTGGATACGTGTGCCACTCGTGCTTCGCTGCCCAGCCATCGCTGTGCCTCCCGGTGGGTTCACGCGTTCCCTCGATCGAACGGATCGGCTGACTCCGGTAACCTGCGCTTAGGTGGTAAGGTCGAGCATACTGGACTGATTTCCTAAACCCCGTTACAACCATTTCATTTTGTTTTGTTAGGATTGCGCCGAAGTATGACCCATACTGCTTTCCGCTGCGTGTGAGTTTCCTTCTTCTGCATCATCATCATCATCATCATCATCATCATCATCATCATCATCATCATCATCATCATCATCATCATCATCATCATCATCATCATCATCATCATCATCATCATCATCATCATCATCATCATCATCATCATCATCATCATCATCATCATCATCATCATCATCATCATCATCATCATCATCATCATCATCATCATCATCATCATCATCATCATCATCATCATCATCATCATCATCATCATCATCATCATCATCATCATCATCATCATCATCATCATCATCATCATCATCATCATCATCATCATCATCATCATCATCATCATCATCATCATCATCATCATCATCATCATCATCATCATCATCATCATCATCATCATCATCATCATCATCATCATCATCATCATCCTCATCATCATCATCATCCTCATCATCATCCTCATCCTCATCATCATCATCATCATCATCATCATCATCATCATCATCATCATCATCATCATCATCATCATCATCATCATCATCATCATCATCATCATCATCATCATCATCATCATCATCATCATCATCATCATCATCATCATCATCATCATCATCATCATCATCATCATCATCATCATCATCATCATCATCATCATCATCATCATCATCATCATCATCATCATCATCATCATCATCATCATCATCATCATCATCATCATCATCATCATCATCATCATCATCATCATCATCATCATCATCATCATCATCATCATCATCCTCATCCTCATCCTCATCCTCATCCTCATCCTCATCCTCATCCTCATCCTCATCCTCATCCTCATCCTCATCCTCATCCTCATCCTCATCCTCATCCTCATCCTCATCCTCATCCTCATCCTCATCCTCATCATCATCATCATCATCATCATCATCATCATCATCATCATCATCATCATCATCATCATCATCATCATCATCATCATCATCATCATCATCATCATCATCATCATCATCATCATCATCATCATCATCATCATCATCATCATCATCATCATCATCATCATCATCATCATCATCATCATCATCATCATCATCATCATCATCATCATCATCATCATCATCATCATCATCATCATCATCATCATCATCATCATCATCATCATCATCATCATCATCATCATCATCATCATCATCATCATCATCATCATCATCATCATCATCATCATCATCATCATCATCATCATCATCATCATCATCATCATCATCATCATCATCATCATCATCATCATCATCATCATCATCATCATCATCATCATCATCATCATCATCATCATCATCATCATCATCATCATCATCATCATCATCATCATCATCATCATCATCATCATCATCATCATCATCATCATCATCATCATCATCATCATCATCATCATCATCATCATCATCATCATCATCATCATCATCATCATCATCATCCTCATCATCATCATCATCATCATCATCATCATCATCATCATCATCATCATCATCATCATCATCATCATCATCATCATCATCATCATCATCATCATCATCATCATCATCATCATCATCATCATCATCATCATCATCATCATCATCATCATCATCATCATCATCATCCTCATCCTCATCCTCATCCTCATCCTCATCATCATCATCATCATCATCATCATCATCATCATCATCATCATCATCATCATCATCATCATCATCATCATCATCATCATCATCATCATCATCATCATCATCATCATCATCATCATCATCATCATCATCATCATCATCATCATCATCATCATCATCATCATCATCATCATCATCAACAGCAGTACATCAGCCATTGGAACTGATGCTTCGCTGCCATACAACCATGAGGAACTATGAAATAAAGAATAAGAAGAGGGAGAGAAAGGGGACTTAACTGAAAACTTTCATGCCCTAAGCAAACATTCAGGGTCAAGGCGCCTACACCTTGTGTAGACAACATTCCGTCACAAACAGCTGGCTATCGTGCAAAGATAAGGCGACATCGACGAGACAGCTTCCTTGCGGCTTTCACTGCCACGCGTCATAATCAGACATTACCCCGCAGATAACTCAGCACCAAACACACTTTAAACAGACAATCCGATTAGGAGACGGCAGCAGACGCGCCACTGGTGTCGGTTGCGAGCTATGTCCTGTAAAGTCTCGAGCCAAGCACAAGGTGAGTCACGTGGAATCCAACCGGAAGGCGAGACGGACCAACGGCACCCAGTTTAGTCCTCAGTGTCTTCATTTCCCGCTGCCAAGTCAACTTCTGTCCACCTCGAGCCTTGCGCCATCCTACACCTGGTAGACTGAACAAGGCCCTCCTAGGTAAGCGGTGACCAGGCATGCGTAGCATGTGCCCGAGCCAACGCAACTTATTCAATGCTATCTGTTGTTCTAGGGAGACAGCATGATTATCACCACCTAGTACTCGCCTACGCACATCATCGTTGCGGACACGCTGGTGCCATCCGACACCAGCAATGCTTCGCAAACAACGATGATCAAAGACTTGAAGGCGGCTCAGATCTTCAGACCGAAGGGTCCAAGTTTCACTACCGTAGAGCAGAACGGCCCTCACTGTGGCCTTGTATACACGGCCTTTCAGACGGAGGGAAAATCCCTTCTGTCGCCAAAGATGCCGCAGGTTCAAGAAGGCAGCTCTGGCCTTTGCAATGCGTGAGCTCACGTCAGTTTCTACGCGCCCATCATTGCTGATGCAGCTGCCAAGATAAGTGAATTGATCAACCACCTCGAGTTCCTCGTTAGCAAGCGTCAAGGGGTCATCAAGTATCTGGTGGTCCTGCAGCAACACTGTACACTTTGAAGGTGCGAAGTGCATACCAAATAATGGGACCACTCTGGATAGGCTATTTAGGGTTGATTGTGCTGCCTCAACCTTGTCGAAAAGCAAGACGATATCGTCCGCATAATCTAGGTCAACTAACCTTTCACCAGGCAGCACTTCAACGCCTACATCATGAGATTCCGCAAGGGAACACTCCATGATAGAATCCACAACGAAATTGAACAAAAACGGGGAAATCGGACAACCCTGACGAACGCCACTTGTAGTCGAAAAGCTATCCGATAGGGCACCATAGACCCTGATGCGGCCTGTAGTGTTCGAGTATAGAGCACGAAGGATGTTCACATATTTCGTGGGAACACCTTTTCGCGCAAGTAATTCGAACAGAATCGATCCATCGACTGAATCGAACGCACTCTTGAAATCGAGGAACACAGCTGTTGTCGGTCTGCGGTATGCGTGGCGCTGCTCTAGCACCTGCCGCTAAGTAAATATATGGTCTATACAGCCACGTCCTGGGCGAAAACCGGCCTGCTCTTCCCTAATCCGATATTCCCGTTCTGCAGTGAGGCGACGAACGATAATCGAGGCCAGTAATTTGGTCACAACTGGCGTTAGGCTAATACCCCCTGTGGTTCGCACAGTCTGTGCGACTGCCCTTCTTGTATATTGCCACTAAAATCGATTCGCTCCAATTAGCCGGCACACTCTCTTCGTTCCAGATACGTTCGAATAGGGAGGTCAGTGCTTTGCAGAGGACCTCACCTCCAGCCTTAAATAGTGCAGGTGGGAGGGAATCCGGGCCAGCGGCACGAAAACGATTAAGGGTTGTGGTCGCGTTACGGACCTCGGCCTCCGACGGAGGCTCTAAACTAACCGTCCATGGCTCGTCCTGCATCACCTGAGTAGGAAGAGGCCCGGGAGCAGGGGACCAGCTGAACTGATCTTCAAAGTGTTCAGCCCAACAAGCCATACGGCGCTCCTTATTGTGTATCAGCGCACCCGCGCTGTCCCTGATTGTCTCACTGACGCCTGGTTTTCTGAGACTAGTGGTGCGGATTAACTGGAAGAGCTTGCGGTAATTGCCTACTGCTCCTGCGTCCTCCATTTCTTGAGCCCGACTGGTCCACCAGGCTTCCTTGTCAGCACGTAGGCTCCGCTTTAGTTCACGCCTAATAGCCCGTCTGGTCACATTGTGTTCAGAACCAGCCGGGAGGTTTCTTCTAGCTTCCAACAGGTTCACGGACCTCTCGGTTATCCAGTGACTGGTGCGGTGACGACTGATAGTGCCACAAACAGATGCTCCTGCGTCGTGCATAGCGGCCGAGATTCTATTCCACTGAAGTTCAGTGTCATTGGGACAAGAGAGCGAGAGTTCGCTATGTAGTGCTTCTTGATAGGCTTGCCTGACAGAGGGCTGGGACAATTTCTCCGTTGCCAATCGGGGGAGACGCTTTGTGCGCCTTCCGGTAAAGTTCATGGAGAAACGACAGCGCACCAAGGCATGATCAGAGTCGACACAGGTACTCCAGTACGAGCGGCAATCCAGAATGGAACCGTGCCACCTGTAACTTATGGCTATGTGGTCAATTTGGGTCCATCGCTGGCCAGCTACAGGTGGACGCCAAGTGGCACTTCGGCGCCCACTGTGTCTAAAAGCAGTGCTAGTAAGAAACAACTGGTGCTCCGCACACAGTTGCAGCAGACGCTCGCCGTTGTCAGTCCGTTCGGCGTTAAGTCCATACTTACCACCCAGCTGAGCTTCTGAAGAGCTCAGACGCCCTACTTGTGCGTTCATATCCTCTGCAAGTACTATAATATCTGAACTAGTAGTACTGCGTAGCAGCGTGTTCAGTTCGTGATAGAAAGTGTCCTTGACTGCATTAGAACTGCAGTCGGTGGGAGCATAAGCAGAAATCACAAACAAACAGCGTTTTGTTTTACTTCGCGAATTCACCTTAGCTGATGTCGTCAAACGGGCTGCACATAAACGGCTGTTCACCGGAATCCAATCAACCAACGATGACGCAGCCTTGGAGCTTAGAATGATACCTACACCAGCTTGACCCGTGAGTGCCGCATCGGCGTCTCCGGATGCGTGCAACCAATAACGAGAGGATAAGCCGGGTGCAGTCAATTCAATAGCCCCGTTAGCGTCATTAATCCTAGTTTCGGACATACAACACACATCAACACCCAGTGTATCGAAGGTGCGTGCGAGTGCAGCCTGCTGACCTGTTTGTCTTGGAGTGCGGACGTTGAATGTCGCCATGGAAACGGGACAGCGTGGCCTTATAAGGGACTTTTGCCGATAGGCGTCCGATAGGTGCTGTGCGATGGTGGCTGCAGACGGTACTACTCCAGTAGCACTTCGGTTGCTGTCAATTAAGCTGGGAATTATAGAAGGAAGGTTAGTAATAGGGGCCGGGATGGGAGTAAGAGAAAAAGGTGGAAAAGAGAGAAGGGAGGCGCCAGCAGTAGCATGTTTTCGCTTATCCGCCCTGCTGTATGCAGCAGATAAGGCGACCCTTGATAATCTGCGCGACGGCCGATGCAGGATGAAGTTTATGTTTGAAGAAAATGTCATGGTTGTATGTGGGCTGGGATACTGCCAGGGCGCCCAGACCTAGACAGGAGGACGATTAGGGTCCTCATCCAAAGCCTTTGGCTCAAAAGCCTGTCCGCAAGGCAGCGGGGTGGCAGTGAGTTAGTTTTACAGAAATGGACGCCATCCCATTTCAAACCCCCAACCTGGAGGACCAGGAGACTGAGTTTGTCTGACCTCTCACCATTGACCAACCTGGTAGGAGTAGCACTCAAGATACTCGGATGCATCACCCAGTATAGCTCAATGGGTCAATGAGGTACGCAAACCGTCGCACCACGTTAAGATCCAGTCTCGTTACGACGGTTAAGGTCCAGTCTCGTTGCATTGCAGGGGTGACGCGGTTTTCCATCTGGGTAAAACGCGTACAACCTGCTTTCCGGACCTGTACTTGGTTCCGCTTAATTGTAGTGCCCCCAATCTTCACTTCGTAGCTTCTGTCTCTCTTGCGGCTCTGAATAACTCCCTTCCTCCAGTGTGCCTCTTATCCTGATACTGGTTGCACCCACACTTCTTCTCCCACTGCTAGAGGTTGGAGTTTTCTCGCCCCGCGATCGTAGTATTTCTTTTGCCTAAGCATTCTGTTTCGTAACCACTCGTGTATCGAGGTCGCTGGTGATACTTCAGGTGTTAGCAGATTTGACGCAGTTGGTATCAACGTTCTTGTCCTCCGGCTGAAGAGTCGCTGCACCGGACTTGCCCCAATTTCTATTGATGGCGTGTTTCTGCGTTCCAGCAACATAATATAAGGGTCCTCATGAGCCTCCTTAACTTTGGTAAGCACCTTCTTTGCTTCTTTTACCGCCGACTCGGCCTTTCCATTTGATTGGCTGTGATATGGGCTAGTAAGCCGGTGATGGAAATCCCACTTTCTGCTGAACTCTCGGAACTCTACGCTAACGAACTGCGGCCCGTTGTCCGAGACTACTACCTCCGGTATTCCGTGACGAGCAAATTGACATCGTAGCTTATTCACCACTGCGTCTGTACTGGTCGTAACAAGAGCATCGATTTCAAAGTAGTCACTGAAATAATCAACCAACACTAGGTACCTTTTTCCATTGTGGATGAAGATGTCTACTGCAACCATCTGCCAGGGCCTGTCCGGAACGTCACGAAGCATCATCGGTTCTTTTGACCAACGTACGACGTGTATTCGGCATGCCAGACAATTTGAGACGTAATCTCGTATTCGGCTGG